TGTGTGTGTGTGTGTGTGATTATTTTCTTAAAATTTTTCCCTTTTCAGTATGATTAGCATGTAAATCTCTTAGACTGGGGTCAGTGTTGGGGGTCGTCCCAGCGTCTCTTATTGTTGTTTTGTGGCTGGGATAGAGAAGTGTTTAGTGTGACGCGATTGTGACGTAAGGAACTTTTATTATTGTTTGTTAATGGTCATGTTGAAGTGTGATGGCATGTTGCCTCGGATCACCTGTCTGATGAGAGGGAGAGGAGAGAGGGATGGAGGGAGGGAGACCAGGCCATAGAGCAAGATATGTTTTGGGCGAAACAAAGGAGTATATAGTTAGGGTGTGTATCAAGTGTAGCCAGGTGGGTGTTGGACAGGTTGTGAGGGTAGCCAGGTGGGTGTTGGACAGGTATGAGGGTAGCCAGGTGGGTGTTAGACAGGTGTGAGGGTAGCCAGGTGGGTTTAAGACAGGTGTGAGGGTAGCCAGGTGGGTGTTAGATGGGTGTGAGGGTAGCCAGGTGGGTTTAAGACAGGTGTGAGGGTAGCCAGGTGGGTGTTAGATGGGTGTGAGGGTAGCCAGGTGAATCACAGGTGTGGGAAGGTTTAAACTATATGAAAGACACACTTGTGCAAAGTTTTGTCCACTGGGAGTTTTTAATAAATGGATTGACAAGCCCTTTGGTAGTCGAGATGCTGCCTTAATATATTTACCTAACATTGTATCAGAATAATGTTACTGGCTGTGAGGGTGAGATGACACACTTGGTGTGCTGGTGTAGCTACTGTGCTGGTGTGTCTGGTGTGTTGGTGTAGCTACTGTGCTGGTGTGTCTGGTGTGCTGGTGTGTCTGGTATGCTGGTGTGCTGCAAGAGATGCCACACTGATTGTTGATGTCACTGTTCCCAGTGTTAATTAACGTTGGAGATTTCAACGCTACACACGACACAAATCCTGACTTACACACACACACACACACACACACACGCACACACACACGCACACGCACACACACGCACACGCACACACACACACACACAGGCAGGCAGGATCCATACATAGCTTTAAGCAGAGGTATGATAAAGCTCACGGCTCAGGGAGAGTGACCTAGTAGCGATCAGTGAAGAGGCGGGGCCAGGAGCTCGGACTCGACCCCCGCAACCTCAACTAGGTGAGTACAACTAGGTAAGTACACACACACACACACACACACACACACACACACAACAGGAAAGGCACTGCAATGGATCAGAGAATACCTGACAGGGAGGCAACAACGAGTCATGGTACGCGACGAGGTGTCAGAGTGGGCGCCTGTGACAAGCGGGGTTCCACAGGGGTCAGTCCTAGGACCTGTGCTGTTCTTGGTATATGTGAACGACATAACGGAAGGGATAGACTCAGAAGTGTCCTTGTTTGCAGATGATGCGAAGTTAATGAGAAATCAAATCGGATGAGGATCAGGCAGGACTACAAAGAGACCTGGACAGACTACAAGCCTGGTCCAGCAACTGGCTCCTTGAATTTAACCCTGCCAAATGCAAAGTCATGAAGATTGGGGAAGGGCAAAGAAGACGCAGGCACAGTATAGTTTAGATGGCCAAAGACTGCAAACCTCACTCAAGGAAAAAGATCTGGGGGTGAGAATAACACCGAGCATATCTCCTGAGGCGCACATCAATCAGATAACTGCTGCAGCATACGGGCGCCTGGCAGATCTACGGATAGCGTTCCGATACCTCAGTAAGGATTCGTTTAAGACTCTGTATACCATTTACGTCAGGCCCATACTGGAGTATGCAGCACCAGTTTGGAATCCACACCTAGTCAAGCACGTCAAGAAATTAGAGAAAGTGCAAAGGTTTGCAACAAGACTAGTCCCAGAGCTACGGGGATTGTCCTACGAAGAAAGGTTGAGGGAAATCGGCATGACGACACTGGAGGACAGGAGGGTCAGGGGAGACATGATAACGACATATAAAATACTGCACGGAATAGACAAGGTGGACAAAGACGGGATGTTCCAGAGAAGGGACACAGACACAAGAGGTCACAATTGGAAGTTGAAGACTCAGATGAATCAAAGGGATGTTAGGAAGTATTTCTTCGGTTATAGAGTAGTCAGGCCGTGGAATAACCTAAAAAGTGACGTAGTGGAGGCGAGAACCATACATAATTTTAAGGCGAGGTATGATAGAGCTCATGGGGCAGGGAGAGAGAGGACCTAGTAGCAATCAGCGAAGAGGCGGGGCCAGGAGCTGTGACTCGACCCCTCCAACCACAAATAGATGAGTACAAATAGGTGAATACACACACACACCACACACACACACACACACCACACACACACACACCACACACACACACACACACACACACACACACACGCACACACACACGCACGCACGCACGCACACACACACACACACACACACACACACACACACACACACACACACACACACACAACACACACACACACACACACAGGTGGAGCACCTGGAACGGAACAGGAGTATAAATGCCAACCAGCACGGATTCACGGAAGGCAAATCCTGTGTCACAAACCTTCTGGAGTTTTATGATAAAATAACAGAAGTAAGACAAGAGAGAGGGGTGGGTTGATTGCATCTTCTTGGACTGCAAGAAGGCCTTTGACACAGTTCCTCACAAGAGATTAGTGCAGAAGCTAGAGCATCAGGCGCATATAACAGGAAGGGCACTGCAATGGATCAGAGAATACCTGACAGGGAGGCAACAACGAGTCATGGTACGTAATGATGTATCACAGTGGGCACCTGTGACGAGCGGGGTCCCACAGGGGTCGGTCCTAGGACCAGTGCTATTTTTGGTATATGTGAACGACATGACGGAAGGGTTAGACTCAGAAGTGTCCCTGTTTGCAGATGATGTGAAGTTAATGAGGAGAATTAAAAACTGATGAGGACCAGGCAGGACTTCAAAGAGACCTGGACAGACTGGACACCTGGTCCAGCAAATGGCTTCTCGAATTTAATCCTGCCAAATGCAAGTCTTGAAGGATAGGGGAAGGGGCACTGAAGACCACGACAGAGTATAGGCTAGGTGGCCAATGACTGCATAAACCACTCAGGAGAAAGATCTTGGGAGATGAGTTATAACACCGAGCAATGTTCCGGAAGCACACATCAATCGATAACTGCTGCAGAGATGGGCGCCTGGCAAACCTGAGAAATCAGCTTCGATTACCTTAGTAAGGATCATTCAAGAATGTACACCTGTATGTCAGGCCCATTATGGAGTTATGCAGCACCGATTTGGAAACCCGCATTGATAATAAAGCACGTCAAGAGAAACTAGAGAAAGTACAAAGGTTTGCAACTAGGTTAGGTCCAGAGCTAAGGGAAAGTCCTATGAAGAAAAGATTAAGGGTAATCGGCCTGCCATGCGACACTAGGAGGACAGCGAGGGTCAGAGGGGACATGATAAGACATATAAAAATATGGTGGAATAGACAAGGTGGACAAGGATAGGAAGCTCCAGGGAGGGGGACTCAGAAACAAGAGGCACAATTGGAATTTGAAGACACAATTGAGTCAGAGAGATTGTTAGGAGTATTTATTCAGTCATAGAGATGTAATGGCAGTGGAATTAGCTAGAAAATGAGTAGTGGAGGGAAGGAACATACACAGTCTTTAAGACGAGGTTTGATAAAGCTCATGGAGCGGGACGAGAAGAGTGGGCCTAGTAGCCATCGGGAAGAGGTGGGGCCAGGAGCTAGGATCTAGGACCCCTGCAACCACAATAGGTGGTACACACAACACACACACACACACACACACACACACACAACACACACACCACTCACAACACACACACAAAAAAAAAATTTCCTCCGTCTCTTTCCCTCACCCACATCTGTCTGCTAAAAGGTTAAGCTAGAAGTTAATTCCCATTACATCGAGTGTAAGGTTAGACATGCTAGGAACCACAGTGTTATCATGTTAGCGGGGTTTCGTCTCTAAACAAGGCTGAGATGCTGCTTACTCTCAGACCTTGATGGCAGATTAGTACCATTGGTTGCTGGAAGATGTAAGATAGATGCACCATCTTTCTTAAAAATCTAGTACGATTAATGGGTGGATGCTGTGGAGGGAATTATCCTAGATGTTGAACTTAACAAACCACGGTTCATCCTTAGTCTGGGTGAATGATCACTTTATTCAATTTTTGCCGGTTTAGATATGGTTTGAGTGGTTGGTGATGCTGTGTCAAGACTGCACTTGTGTCCAGGGACCCTTGTTACCGTGACCGCCTCTCTGAAGTTGCACTTCTCACAGCTATGTCTTGGTTCAGGCCTGGTTGTTCACATCTGCCCGGTTGGCTTGATTATGGTAGTTATAGTTTTGGTGTGTAAGTTAGAGGGGAGGGCCTCCTGTTAGTTAGAGGGGGTCCCTGTATAAGTTAGAGGGGGTCCCTGTATAAGTTAGAGGGGGTCCCTGTATAA